GTAATCAATTCACATAGCTATCATTCGAATTTTGATCTGAAAATTTTATACAATGTACTCTATCATCATTGGATTCAACCCACAAAATTTCACGCAAAAAGGACGCATATTCAATTTTTAGAAAATTTTTAAAGAATTAGGGCAAAATCATCAAATCTGAACATCTTGGTTCAGGTACCTATACTTCGAATTAAATTCTGACATTTTAACTACATGATCAACATGACAAAAGACTCCAAACTCGGGAAAAACAAATAATTTGGACTTGTAGATTATTTAATACCAATTTTCAAAATTTTAGGGCACAAATCTCAATATTCAGTTCATATAGCTACAGACAAATTTAATGCATGAAATTTGTACACAACACTCCTCCTCATAACAGGAGATTACCTTCAAAATTTCAAGTCATTTGGATGAACGTATGAGTTTTAGTGACTTTTCAAAGACTCATCAGCAAGATCGACTTCAAAAATTCAAAACGGCTTCAATACTCCATGAAATCGACCAAGGCCTTCACCATTAGGCCGAGGACGCTCCAAGATTCCATATATCACAAGGGTTTCACGAATTAACATCAAGATCTATTGATTTCTCATGAATCCACATAGATCTCCACAAAAAAAATCACATATATCCCAAACAATTCACTCTGATAACTAATGATCTACTCCAACCAATGAAAACACATGTAAAGAAGTAGGGTTCAACCACCCATTACCGTAATTCAATGGGGCCCACAAAAATATGATAAAGAGACTGGGTCGAGCACGGGGAACGGTGTCTCAGCGGCTTCGCGCGGCTCGTCGCTGATCCGCGTGATCTCTGATGGCTGGTAATGATCAAGGCTTGCTGGTGTTGCTCTCGTATGAACCAAACTGAGGCTGGGACGGTTTGGTTCGATCGATGGAGAAAGGCGTGTGGGAGGAAGTCTTCGTCGATGGTAGTCTCGCGCTCGGGGATGCACTGGCGAGGTGGAGCAGCGGCCGGGAATTGCCGAGAGGGTGAGTTGATGATGGCGACGGGGCTGGTTTGTTTCAGCTTTTGAGAGTTAAAAGGAGGGTGAAAGAGAGCTCTTACGGTTCAGAATTTTCTTATGGCAACTGATGGGAATTTGCATGAAGGAAAAAAAAAAGAATTGAAGGGGATTTGTTTTCTTAAATGGCGGTGATTGTGTATGGATTCAACTAGTTTTTATTTGGTTTGTTTTTAACTATAGTTAGTTTTGAAAAAAAAAAAAGTGGTATGATTAGTTGTTAGTGGATATATTTAAATAATATTTAGATTAAAATAAATAAAATTGATTTGATGTAAAAGTAGGGAAAATGATTAGAAGTGATGGTTAGATAAAATTATATGAGTAGATGAATAGTGAATTAAACTTGATATGATGTGTAATAATGGTTGGATGATATTATTT